GTACAAATGGGAATTCTGCATTTGTCGATCAGCAGGTGGTGGCGTGAAATATGGGCACCACCCACCTCTTCCAACATTTCTGCCCAGCGTGGAAGATTAGGCCCAACATCCTGTCATGGAGATCTCTCGGGCTGCCTCGAGCAGAGGAGGCGCTTCCTCCAGCAATGGTGGGAGCAATACATTTCAGGGCTGCACATTTACATAATTTTACCTACTGGGCATATGTGAGAATATATTGATAGCTCATCGGGTTCCACCAGCATAGATACATATTCTGATGTATATGTAGGTAAGTGGAGCAAAAAAAGGTTGGATTATATTTCCCAGCCACAACACACAAAACTATAACACGAGAGATTGTATAATTTAGATGAATCACAACCTCATATCGTGACAATTCATTCAATAACTGGGAGGGGAGAAATCCTTCAAATGCTGACCCATGGTATTCACTCTTACTCAACATATACTTTGTAAAGTTAACGTTTAAAAAATAAATATTGTTCGTAACATCCAAGTGTGGTTTGCTGTGGCATTGCGCGTAAAAAGAAGTTTGCATTAAAATATAGGCTTACACGTAACACTGCGAAGGATTAATGTAATTCATAATTAGATTTTCAGTGGCCTGCTGCCTGCTGCAAGCACTTATATATCTTTGTATGATAATGCAATTTATTTTCCAAAGATGCACGTTTTAATATCACCTACCAGGCTTATCTCTTAATCCGTAGAGAGCCATGCTAGTGTCCCAGTGGCTCTCAGATGTCATGGTCAAGATAGAGTTAATTTCACATTGTATTATTTATACACAATTAGAGAGTATTAACTGGCAGTCTAATGGAAACACTGTGCATTATTAAATGTATGCTTTTATTTTCTTAACGTAAAGTATTTCCCCAGTTTAGAAATGTTTGCCAAGTGTGGAACACAAAACGTGTACATGTACAGCACCTTTATCAATCGACTGCTAGATTAGGGCCTCCCCATGCTGCGTACGTCCTGGGGGTTATTTGACTATACTTCACCATGCCGGTCAGTGCGGGTTGGTGAATGGGGGAGAGCAAAGACGTGGGAGCATAGTATGTATGTGCGCCGAACTTCTTTCGCACCGTACTTAGCCAACGGTGCTACAACAACAAAGAACATTTCGGGACTTGCCCTCGGCTGTCCACAACGTAGCCTTGCAGCTACCTTGTGGACAGCTCGTTTGCTGTCCTTCCCCCGCACCTCCGATTATCACGGCACAGCGCAAACGAAGTGCAACGTACATACAACGGTCTCCTCCATCGGTCATCATCCCTACTGGCTATGCGTCCTGCCCACGGCCACATACTTTCCTGAATAGTCAAAGCAATGTCTTTACTATCATGGAAGCGTGTGTGTGTGTATATATTTGCATGTTAACATGATACTGCAAAAGCAGAAGGCGCATTGAAGCTGCGGACTATTCGTGATGTTGCACCGTTTAATAAATGTCAAACTCTTAGAGAGCGCTCCCTCTAGAGGAAATACATTGCACGCCCTATTCTGGCTCTAGATCTAAGAGACCTTTACTCACCAGGAAAAAGTCACGTGTGTTGCATAAGCTGGCATAACTCTGGCTAATCGCGTGATGAAGCCGGTTGTTATCACCAGCGAAACGTCACACTCGAATAGTAAATGTCGTGGGTTTACTTTCCAACTCACCGGAGTGCTGAAGTTGTAATTAATGTTGGTATGTTTTGTTTACGTGACAACCCTTACTCATTGGCTGCGTCTGGTGGTGGTGGGTTTAACGACACATTTATATTTACGCGATCTCACCCAAAAAAAAAGTATTGATAATATTAGCCGCGAAAGCCTCCTACGTGTTAAACCGATGTTCACATCATTCGCCTGTGCTAAATGATCCTGTGCTGCATGTCCCCTATACCCCACACCACCCAGAGTCATGCCAATGCCCAGCAAGATGCAGTATTAGATCGGTAAAGAAGTAAACCTCATTATTAATATTATTCTTCCGTACAATTCCCTCAATCAAAAGTCTGATCTGAGCAAATTGCAACTAAAAAAATATGTAATTAACAATCACGAGAAATTAACAGTGTATTCCGACAGAAAATTATTTTTTGGATGGTGTAAATATGTCCGCTCGTGAATTAAAAAGGCTATTTAATAACCAATCAAGCAGTGTTCTGTGAGACTCAGATCGCATTGCATTGGACGAACCATGTGATCACAAATGCATTGCTACATCAATAAGCTCACTTGCGTGCGTGCGATGGCGTGAAATGTACACGCGTGTTGTTTGTAGATATTTTCACCTTTGACTGCACATGGGTATTCGAGATCGTGGTATAATTTGTCACGGGTGCGCCGCGACCGATGAAAGTTACAACAATAAGCAAGGGGAGAAAAGCAAACATGTTTGGAGTAAAATTGTTAGACATTTTTTTTAACATGCATTGGACGCTGTGAATGCAGTTGTTAACGTGTAATATTGTTTTCATGGTTTTTTTTCAAGAGTTGGAACATTTGAAGACTTGCAGTGTTTTTAAGCAGGGAATTCGTTTTGTTTTTATAGACATTTCCCACAGGATGGGTGGTATCAAACATAAAGCCATCACGATGAAGGCTGTATTATTGCAGAAAACACTTTTTTATACGTGGGTGGAGTGCGGATTCATAATTTAATTGTGATGCGAGTCATGTTTGTGTAACCTTGTTCATGTATATATAACTGTAGATATGTGCGACGGTCATTTCTAACATACTAAGCTCTCAACCACCTTGCCCCAGCCTCCCTCAGAGAGACGTTGCACCCATGTTCCCCGCAAGGTTTCTAAGATCTCGGGATGCAGATCTCCTCTGCGTTCACACGTCATGGAGGCTTCGGTCGATGGGCGACCGACTTCTTCCCGAGTGGCCCCCAGACTTTGGAGCAGCTTTTCCACGATATCTCAGTATCTCTCGAGTCTGTGGACATTTTCTTTAAAACGGGTCCTAAAACTTATGCATACACTACTGTTTATTCAACTGTTATTATTAATTTAGAAAATGGCTTTGAGGATTTTTTTTGTTAGTATTACGCTGAGTGTTTGATGCTGCGTCTCGTGCAGTGATTTGAGACACTCGATTAAATGTGCTATATAGGTTCTAGTGTTACTACTGTTCTAAACTGCACTGCTACACGCACCTTCACGTGTCCGCATGTGGCATGCACGCTTTCCATAGTTCAATGTGAACCGATATAAACTTGCATAGTTGTTGTGATCACACAAATATCATTTTGGACGCATATTTTGTCTGAACACAACACATACAGGACTTCTTCCCTCGCCGTACGTAGTCAACAATCCTTACCACATTTCAAGATGTGTTTCATACGTGTTCACATGCATGCAAATATAAACACAATTCATTCATGTACTGCTGTTTAAATCATGTATTCGCCATCATATCTCGTTAAATGTATATATGTATGTATGCCTTTGCACATTCAATCCCGAACGTGTCCTAGCCGCCAGATGAAAGCACAGTGCATGGGTGTGTATTTTTAGACTAATAAAATACCCCTCACCAGAGATTTGTGCCACACAACAAGCAGTGCTTGCTTTTAATTAATGGAAGCAAACACAAATGGGTGCGTGGGTTAAGTCTGAATATAGAAGGCCTGGTTCATTATTAGAATAAAACAATATCTGGGTGTTTTGGCAACTTTTAGTCCCATCTGGCAAAGATTAAGTATATATTCTGTATAAAATTAACTTACTGCTTCAGGAGATCATACGCTGATTAAATAATGTCACATTTTAGCCAGATATGATTCTGTTTTACAATCGTATCTTCCCAACCCTCTGGAAGAGGGAATATAATTGGGCTCTTCGCAGCATCTTTGTCGTATACATGCAACGCTATCGAATAAGAGTGTACATGCACGTGTGGTTGTTCGTGCTATAATTCACATTGTTTTAATGCACCCTCTATGGGATCTAGCGAGCCTAAGACACTGCAGTAGCATCAATTGAATACAATTTTCAAGATAAAACAGCAATGTGAATTTGAGGCATTGCACATAGCAATAAAATGCAAAAGCAACAACGTGAATGTAACGCTGCAGCTAACTCCGATTATTTTTAAACAAAGACACACATTTTGTGCTCGGTAATATTCTACGTTTAAAAACACTGCCAATTACACCGAGGTCAGTGCCAATCCAAGCGAGGTACGTCAAGGTTAGAGGTCACAGTAATGCTGACGCTTCCAAATGCCACTGTTCAGCAAAACACATCCGACATCACAAACCATTGGTAGTTTTGGGACGATACCTTGGAAGCAACTGTGGCTGTAGCTACATTGACAACTGAGAAAGCACACCTTGACAACCGCATTGCAGTAGCTCCAGCCATGGATCATGAAGGGCAGGGTCAGACACAGTTCATACATGCTGACAGCGATTCACTGAATCTAGCTACGCTTAAACTAAACTATTTTACTTACCAAGTAAAGCCCAGTCAGCTATTAGCTCTTTGTCAGAGGCGACCTGGATACACGTGACAGGTCACGAAAGTGGCTTATATCATCATCATCACACGTGGAATTTTGTAGGAAACTAAAATGCATGTTTCTCAATGTGGAGGGCAAAACCAGAGGACCTGGAGAAACATTCAAGCGACCACCACGGCGAAAGAGAACACACGACCCTCCAAATATACAGCAGTCAGGGTAGGGATAGAACCCACCACCTCCCGTATGCATGTGGAACTTTTTTCTCACCGTACGTGGCCAACCGTGCTAAATCGGAGGCACGGAGGAAAGGACAACAAACTGAAAGAAATCAGTTCTGAAGAAATTCGTTTCCAATCGGGAGGGCGTAGAGCATCCCAGACTGGCCGCAGAAGCACGTCTGAAAGCGTACCAGGCGAGGGACGTAGCATCTCCTCGACTACCGCGGCCACCCCCGGCTCGCTGCCGAGCCCCGCGACGCTCGGAGCTGCGGGGCGCCTGGCCGCGACACTCACCTCGCGTCCATGCCGCTGCACCGCTGCGCCCCGCCACAGAGAGTGCGCGCCTTGCGAATGCGCTCGCCGCCCCGGTCCCCAGAGGTTAACACCTCGGCGAGCACTTCCACGCTGCTGCCGGGTTGGTTGTGCGTCGGACAAGTCGCCAAGGCAGGGAGCAAGGGTGTTAGCGTCATGGGGAGTGGGAGAGAGAGAGAGGAAGAGAGCACCGGGTTGGATTGCACATCTGGGATAAATCGGAATGGCTGGTAAGGCAGTGGGCAACGTGAAACACGCACGTTCTGGAGTAAGCAACAGCGAAGGCTTTAATCTGTTTGTCAGCTTAACCTATCCATCCACAATCTCCTGAATGTGGGGATGAGTTGACAAGAAGGCTGAGTGATTTTGCAATTGTTATGATGTCCTGCAATGCATTGTGTGGGCATCCAGGAGGTGAACATCACTGGCTTTGTGGATGCCGAACTTTTTTTTTTAAACATGACCTTGTAAATGCAGTATCTGTGATAGAGTCCCACATTTACTCACAAGACTTTGTGCCGACACAGCCATTACTTATAAAGTTACTGGTGCAAGGCTCACAGAATAAGCCTCCACAATGTTTCTCCTAAATCCACTTTGTGTGCAAATCAATTAAAAATGGCCATTATTTTTGCCCCCCGTTAGATTAATTAAAAAAGACCGCATCTTTATAGGCCAAGATCTAACCACTGTTGGATGAAGGCATCTCCAAGCAGTGCCAATCTCTCACGGTCCCGCGAAGCAAAGATCCCATCTAGCGCCTGTACATGAGCCGAATTCATTCCTCTCGCTCCACAGCAAACATCCGCTCAGTGCTGTTTGCGTCTCTCCTTTGGCTCCCACTCTGCCATTAGTCTGAATGACATGATCCAACCAACTCCCACTTACTTCTCTCAACAGTCCTCTATGATGTGTATAACTTCGCACGTGTCCCCCAATCCACGTCTTCCCCTTCCCGTCTCTCGGCCTAATCCCAAGCAATCACCTCTCCTTGAGTACGGTGGTCACCCCAATGTGGCCTTCATAAAGCTCAGCCCCGCATCGCGTCCGAGATCTGGTGATATCGCTCACATTCTGGTTGATTTAATCATAGGCTTATGACATTATCCAATATATGACATCGTTACAGAGTAATTGTGGAATTACATACAAATCACAAATAGAGGAGACTTGCAGTCACCTAACAACATTGATTTTAAAGTCTCTGAATTATATAAACACTTACACACGCACAATCCTTGAAGGAGTGCAACGAAATGGCCACTGCAGACAAACAGCCATGTTCATCAATTTCCAATTCATTTTATATTCGAATGCATGACAGGACACGCATAGGGAGTGGTGCGGAAGTGGCAAGCAATTACTAAATGTGCGCAAGAGCCAGATGACTCGAGTCCACCCTGCGGCGCTGTTAACAAGGCCACTTTATCAGAGGTGAATCATAAATGCGTCATCCTTAACCCTTTCTCCGGCGGCAATGTGTTCTAGCCAGTGCAGCCGACTGTACGATCACGCACGGGCATTGCCTACGTGACTAGAATGTCGACGCACGTCCCACGTCCGCAGGATATTGCTTCGTTGGTGCAAAGTTTGTGGACGCTTTACAGAAATGCCAATAAAAATTAAGCGTAGCCTCCTCAGAATATCACTTTTTTCCTTCATCGGAGCGGGCATGGTTAGTAACATGGTTAATGCTACGTGAAAACCCTTATCCATGGCAGCTCCCAACTTCTGACATCTGATCAACGAGTGCTGTCGTAGTCACCCCTGCTGTTGCGATTGGAATAGATTTTTTTCTTCCTCCCGATTTACGTCATTCGCAAAGTCTCTGTCATTTGTCACAATGAGTCATTTAATATGGGGATTGGACGCAAATTAGTCCCTGGCATCGTTTGAACCGTATACAATTGTATTTTTTTTATTGTAAGCGAGGACAGGATATGGACATTGCCCTTTGTGGGGGGTCTCGTCCCTCGGTTCGTGACAGGAGACGCGACATTTCTCCCAACGATATTGAGTGCGCAAGAATGCAATAAAAATACAGGCTTGCTGCACGACCAAAATTTTAATAATTATCGTGCACTTATCCATCCGCCATGGATGGAGCAGTGGTGTCGTGTTGGCACGCTGCGCTATGAATCCTGCAACCCGAGTTTGATTCCGAGCTATGGCTAACGTCAGCCCCCGAGTTCGCCAACCTACACCAACCAACCTGGCCAATTGTGTTCAAACAACCCTCATGAACAAACATGGCGTGGGAGGCCTTCATCCAGCAGTGGATTGAGAAAATGCTGTAAATTGTTTCATTATTTTATTTTACCTATACATCAGGGAGACGGGAGACGACATGGTGTCGTGGTTAGCCCACTGGGCTTGCAATCCAGAAGTCAATGGGTGCAAGTTTCTCAAATCCCCGTCGCCACCTCTGCCCACCCAGCAGTGGACATGGTGGGGGTGACACGTGGTTATGCCCACCGATGCCCACGCATCTCGCCAACGTGGAAGGGTGAACCAAATGCCCTCGCAAGAGAGTTACCTCTCGTGGAGGTCCCACCGCCAGCGGTCGCGGAGAGGAAACAGTTCCGCGGCCGCACCTGTACCTCTCTACCAAGAAGAGCAGTGAAACATCTCCGCTTTATTGCTTCTCACAAGCGCCGGATCTCTCTGTTTTTCCTCAATGGGCACTCGCTCGACACGGAAGGCCGTGCGCACGGCCAATAGGCAGGCGACTCGCCCCCCGGGGAGATCAGCGCTCGATGTTGAAGCCAGTGGTAACGGAAGTTCGAGAGAGGGACGATTGCTCCCCAGTGGGAACTCCGCAGCGAGCCGCTGCCAGGAGACCGTGTCGCCAATTGGACCTTTGCGGGCGGCGTAATGAGGATGTGCGGCTCAGCCGTTCGGCGTGTGGAGCGGGGCTAATGTGTTCAAGTTAATGGGAAGCGGCAAGTCCTTGGCCTAGGTTATATGTCCCACTGGTAATGCTGCATGCAGTGTGGCTGCGATAAAGATTACAAATGATTGCGCACTGATACTGATATCGATGCAAAGTCAAAGTAATTGTATTGCTCTAATGAGAAATAAGATTGTCTCCTGTTTGCAGCACTGAGCCAGTGGCGGAAATTCCACATTCTTATGGTGGTGGGGGAAATCTATCTATGAAACAACCAGTGGTGACTTTTTATACTCTTAGGTTTTTTCGGTAAAGTCACGTAGGTGACCTATTTTATTGACCCCGAAGAGATGATGGTATAAGTGAGCCCGACCCTCCGATTTCGAGTCGTTGTCTCTATCACCGAACCACCTGGCCGGATATAATAATCATCGCTATAATTAATCAGCGCTATAACTATTATTATTAATTGCTATAACTATTATTACATTGCTATAACTATTATTACATTGCTATAACTATTATTACATTGCTATAATTATTATTACATTGCTATAATTAGTATTACATTGCTATAATTAGTATTACATTGCTATAATTAGTATTACATTGCTATAATTAGTATTACATTGCTATAATTAGTATTACATTGCTATAATTAGTATTACATTGCTATAATTAGTATTACATTGCTATAATTAGTATTACATTGCTATAATTAGTATTACATTGCTATAATTAGTATTACATTGCTATAATTATTATTACATTGCTATAATTATTATTAAATTGCTATAATTATTATTACATTGCTATAATTATTATTACATTGCTATAATTATTATTAAATTGCTATAATTATTATTACATTGCTATAATTATTATTACATTGCTATAATTATTATTATATTGCTATAATTATTATTACATTGCTATAATTATTATTACATTGCTATAATTATTATTACATTGCTATAATTATTATTACATTGCTATAATTATTATATTGCTATAATTATTATTATATTGCTATAATTATTATTATATTGCTATAATTATTATATTGCTATAATTATTATTATATTGCTATAACTATTATTATATTGCTATAATTATTATTATATTGCTATAATTATTATTACATTGCTATAATTATTTTACATTGCTATAATTATTATTATATTACTAAAACTATTATTATATTACTATAACTATTATTATATTGCTATAATTATTATTACATTGCTATAATTATTATTATATTACTATAACTATTATATTGCTATAACTATTATATTGCTATAATTATTATTATATTGCTATAATTATTATTATATTGCTATAATTATTATTATATTGCTATAATTATACCACTCGATATTATCACCATTTCTGAAAATACGAATGAATGGAGGCACCATTCCATGTTTGAGGTATTAAATTTTTTGTAAAGGTTTTGTAATTGGTCATCTAACTTTGTTCCAAGAATGGGTTAAACTTCTTTAGCTATGTCAGTTATACCACCTGGACCATAATTTAATTCTTCAGGTGTGACAAATATGTCAGTCATTGTAACTACCAATATAGAATGGCGTCAATCATGAATTTCACATCTTGAGCTGATTTAATTCCCGGCCACGGCGACACAAACGGGCAGTGATATCTGAACCGGTATTAAGAGATTATTTTACGAGCCTGCACCTGACCAGCATGGTAAAGTATGGTCACACAAACCCAGATGACCGACTCGGTATGTCAGGCAGGGTCTTCATCCAGCAGTGGAGTAACAAAATGGCTGTGAACTATTATTCTTGCGACAAATTTTGTCGCTGTACGGCATTCAAGTGTGATAAATTTCACAAATCTAAATCTTGGGATTTTATTCTTTTTTAAAGCGCATGCAATAAAAATGGTGCAGATATTGCGTTGATATTTACGTATGTTGTATATTTACTGCCCTTAATAAGTAAATGTATTATTCATCTATCGAATGTATAAATCATCCCCAGCTGAATTGGTTTGAGCAATAAAGTGCAGCAGACCTCGGCTTAAAAAAATTAACCCGTAATTTTCACTATAAATCCTTTATATGCGTGGCATCGGTTTTATTTTATTATTCATTTATGTTTTTCTTGAGTAAGAGTTTCATTTTTATCACATTGGTATTTTAAATTAAATATGAAACATTTTTTTCCCCTAAAAAGTG